AGTTCCACACTTCCTCGTCGTCACTCTCACTCTCAAAGAAATCGAAGCCAAAATCAAACACTCGCCTACGCCGTCCACTTCCTCCACCCACTCTACCACTGGTAATGATAATAGTAATAATAGGCCTTCTCCTACGAGAGCAGTGACAGCGCCATCACCCAGCTATGCCAGTTCATCGACCAGGCGAACCAAAAAATGATCGACTCAGCTCTTTTATTGCAAATTCCCCTGTCTTCCAGCCCACCACAATACTACTCCACCTCTCCCTTTTTTTTTTTTTTTTGATCCGAGTGTACTTATACGAATGTCTTGTTACCATTTTCTGGCTTCGTCGGCAACGAGATATGAAATACATAATCACTGGAATATGGGTAGATAGATCTGCATTCCTCTCTGGCAACAGGGGAAACAGGGATAGCATTATGTAACCAGATTCGTTCGGGTAGTTTATGGATAACTGACGTGTTAAATGGAGAAATGAGAAGTTCGTATTAGTCGGGTTCCAATCCAGCTAGTGGACATAATTCTCCTTCCCCCTTTTTTCCTTTCTCCTGTTTTTCTTTATCTATCTTGTATACCCATGGTTTGGACTTGATATCGGAAAAAAAAAATGCAAGTTTTATGTCTTCTTACTCTCGCTTACGCCATGTAAACGCATAAACAGACTCCTGGAGCGCCTATAAGATGCTGAAAGAAACAGATGAAAGAAAAAGAATGGAAATATCGGGAAGATAAAAGGAACAACAACGACATGACGGTTCTTGGAGATGAAAGAATGAATACGCCATGCCATCCATACAGGGGGGAACCGGCACATCCCCAAACGAATGTTGGAAGGAAATCTTCTTCAGAAACAGGCAGATTGGTAGACAGAACAATTAAACCTGCTCGATATGCTCATCAAAGGCCTTCTCCTCCTTCTGGACACAACCGGCCTTGTTTCCTCTCCACCAGCGAATACCGCACCAAGCACAGGTGATGGCCCAGAAGCACAAGTTGACCAAGTCCACGTAGGCGGAGTGCTTCATGCGCTTGAGGTTCTTGTCCTTGTCATCGTCAACGGCAATGTATAGCTTTGCGAAGATGCCGAACTGCGTGAGCCAGAGGATGACTAAGACGCTGTCGTAGACGAAGCATGGTAGATGGATAAAAGTTGCTTGAGATAGAGGTCGTCGGACGGCGCAAGGGATCAGAATGTAGACAAGTCCAGAAATAGCAGATAGTGTGCCAACGACGGTTGCAAAGATCTACAAGACTGTTAGAATATGATACCGTATCTCTCGAAGGAAATAAAGAGAACGAACCCATCGTGAGTCCTGGCTGTCACCGTGTTTTCTGGCCCGGTCGACATCTTGCGCATACAAGCCAATGACAGCGATACCAAAGACGAACTGTAGGAATCGGATACAGCATTCGAACAGAGTACCGACGATGGAGCCAGTAGAGTAGCGGCTCTTGACACCCTTGAGAAGAAGTCCAGCTACAAACATGTTGATAATTTGTATCGGTGGCTTGCTTGGTTGGTGTGTAGCTGTGTTTGGCCGATGAGTTGTTGCAGGCGTATCGAAAAGGTAGATGAAGAACGGATGTTATAGACAGGGTATAACTGAGCTCTGCAGGGCCTCTAGCGAATAAATAAAGGCAGGGAAAAACGTTCGATATTAAGTCGATATGTGTTGGCTTCACAGAAGCAGGGCTCTCTTGCAAGTAATGAATATATGTAGGAAGGAAGCAGTGCGCTGCACCACCCGGCGGGTTTGATTGAATGAAGTGAAGGAATAAATAGACAACACAGCAGGTTGAATGAATGGAGACTCGGCAATAGATAAATGAAAGAATAGAGGGAGATAATACAAGGAAAAGAAAGAGAAAATAGAAAGGAAAAGAGAAGGGGGGGGAAAGACCGGTGAATTGGGATGTCCTGCTTGATTAATGCTGAATAGGAGGAAAAGAAGAATTTGATATCGAGGACAGCAGACGCTTTATATGTACATCTACTTCCTTCGTGTTCAGTCCTCTCCTATTCTTCAATGGGCCTTCCATCTACACGGTCATGGGCCAAAGATAGCAGCAAAGTGCCGCCGAGGCATGGTATCTCATGGGCGGTTGTATGATCCCCATGCTCGAATCAAATAACTACAAGACAGA